AAACACTGAAAGCAGGGGGTAGGGGCGGATATTAAAATAATGGACGATATAAGATACTAAACTAGCTCCAAAAATTTGGTTGATGAGTCGAAGGAGTAATCTTCATAGATTGATTGAAAAAGAGGATTTTCCAAGAAGAGGTGGATGGACTAGCAGATGGACTATCGAAAACAACCATGATTTTTTTAATATACGACAGAGAAATCCATCAACTATAGAGAGAGAATAGGATACAAACCGTTGGGAAAAAACCACCACGTTTCATGAATAGACGACAAATGCCCAATACCCAAAAAAACACGGGTTGGCGAAACAAGAGAGAAGAAATAGATAAGTAACCCTGAAAAGAAGTCCACAAATTGAAAGTGGACGGCAGGCAGTATTCATTCTAGAATCTAAGAACGAGTTCATGAAACAATTCGTTACCGAATATATGATAATTCAAAAGACAATTATCTGGATCTGATGTTGGTTTGAAAACGAAGTTTGAACTCAATGACAATGGATCTGCAAGCAGAGTGTAATTGTCGAGGGATATTAGATTTATTTGCCTATCGCAGGTGGGAGAGACCAAACGATGCAGCGATATACCAGCTGGTCATACCAAGAGCACATGTCAGAGGTGTGTTAGACCGAATCCAAAGGAGTTGAGCAAGAAATGAACTTTGGCATCGAAAGAATCCTTGGAGACGTTCAAGGAGATATAATTGGGTTAATAATCGCCGTGAAAATTCAAGTTTTGCATTTCGAAATAAAGTCTCACAACAATAATCGCCGTGAAAATTCGAGTTTTGCATTTCGAAATAAAGTCTCACAACTGAATTGCGGAAGAAACCAGAGAATCAGACATGAACTAACTATTCAACACCTGCCCATTACCAGTGACTGGAAGAAAAAGCGGCTAGGATGGCAAGTAGACGTTACACAATTGAAGATACGATGTGGAGTTGTGTTAACCTCAGAAGAATCTATCCAAGGTTATAGACGAGATGGGAAAACCGTATCTTGGCGAACGAAAAGATATTGTTTTGGTCTATCGAATCCAGTTGATACCAAGGAATAAACCAATAGTATCTCACGTAGAAAAGATTACTTTCTAAAGTGATAATGATCCTCCCAGATGTTTACGTCAGAATGAGGTAGACGAGTTTCCGAGTAATTTGGAGAGGGAAAAATGTCACTCACGACCATTACTTATGGTGCTGAATGAAGAAAAAATTATCTGGAAAAAGACGATGACCAGACAATTAATAGACGTTTGACCGTCAGGAACATCACGTAGAGAATTTATTTGACCTATGATACCTATGTTTATTATCGATGTTGTACTTTGATCGATGTTATTATACTTTGATATCATTCACTATGATTTCAATGTTTTTTGTAAAGAACTAATCTAGCAAACTTTTGTTTGCAAGAACAGTCACTCGGAATATTACTGGAGTTTTTCTCCAACATCAAATCGTTATTTTTAACACTTCGACACGTGTTTCGATCACCAAGTGATCATCTTCAAAGAGGAAGATTAAAACTAGAAACGGATGCGAGCTAACCCCATTTATGCTATAAAGGTAACCCATACAGGTAAACCATCCAGGCGTACCAATAATAACCATCGAATAACGATGACGGACCTATACCAAAGAGCATACTATATAGCTTGTTAAAATAAAATAAAATAATTTGTTGGCTTTACTGATTACTACATAAGGACACATTGCAAAAATAAATTTGAATAGGCAATTTTGTATAGCTGAAAATTGTTTTATATAAACATATATTGTAAAATAATAGATAAGGCAAAATTGTGAAATTAATTTAGGTATACCTATATGGTTGGTACGCCTCGATGGTTTACCTGAATGGGTTACCTTTATAGCATAAATAGGGTTAGCTCGCATCAGTTCCTAGTTTTAATCTTCCTCTTTGAAGATGATCACTTGGTGATCGAAACACGTGTCGAGGTGTTAAAAATAACGATTTGGTGTTGGGAAAAAACTCCAGTAATATTCATTACTACACCAAAGGTTTCAAACAGTGCATCATAAGTCACTCGGAAAGTTATATAAGAGTTTTCGTCGTTAGATATGGAATCTACTTTTTTGTTGATTTAGGGCATGAACGATAATATAAGGAACTTATTCTCTTAAGTACCTAGACAACAATAAACTCAGATTCAATGGGTTCTCACAACTCTCATTTTGGTTATGACTAGTCAACTCTACTCGAAATGATACTTCTAAAAACACGTCACTACAGTTAAGTTATTGGACAGGTATTTGTTTGGCATATGCCAAATTCTGCGCAAAGTTTCTCCCCCATCCGTGGTGATCGTCGTGTTCCCAATCATCCTCGTGTTCATAGTGATGATCGTGGTGAGAATTTTCATAGTATATTGTCTTCTGTTTCCCTTGTTTGACTAGAATCACCAGTTTCGCAACTGACACTCCCAAGAGACCAATTCCTAATAGGGCCAGTTTGAAAAGGAGGGCGGTTTGTAACAAATTAGCGAGTAGACCGATTTTCTTTGCAATCACAGAGAGAATTAAAAAAAACTTGAGTTTTTGAAGTCGCTTCTTCTTTTTCTTTTTTCCTCTCTCCTCTGAAACGGTACATGATTAGGTAGTGTGCATGTCGAAAATTTGAAAACTCGGAGTAATTGTTAGTTGCATGCGATGAACCTAGTGATGCTTGGAATTAAAATGAGTCGGGTAATGTTAAAGCACATAGTGAAACACCAAGTAATTGATAATTTCATTTATTTCTTCGAAAACAAACAAAACAAGCACATGCACCAATCTTAATGTGTCACACCACTTTTATTTTTACATTAACAAAATAATATTTTGCCAGGTCACGTTACAATAATTTGTAGATATAATTATAAAAAATTAATTATTGAAGTCAAACAACAGAGAAATGTTTACCGCAATTGACGTATACATAAACAGTTTTTGATCTCAACGAAATATCTGGAAAGCCACTTCAAACAGGAATATATTTAAATAGGGCAGTGATAAATACTCCCAGAAGAGAAATTTCAACTATTATAAAGGGTGTGTTTATCAACTGTAACATTTATAAATACTCAAAGTAATCTGCTATTAGGAATTTACTTATAATCAAACTTTCAAAATCAAAAAGCATTCATATGAATGAATGAATTGGTATAAAGAGTTCTGATGAAAATATTTGCACTGAATCAAACCGCTTCGCAAACATTCTGATCTTGGTGAATTCAAAATCAGTGCAGGAATGATTACCTTTTGGGTTTGAGAAATATAATAATTGGAATAATATCAATTGATAGAAACGTAAGTGTTTGCTTTGTTCTTCTACATGTTCATATAGAAAAAAATGAAGGAATCTTCTAAAGAAAACAAGAAAGCAATTTATTGCGGAATAAATTCTATATATAAAAATGTGTAGTTCAAGTAAAGAAATTAATTGCTTTTTTTCTTTCTTTGAAAGATTCCTATATTCCTTCAAAGAGCAATGACAACAGACTACTACTTAGTCTAAAGATATGTAGTAACAATACCAGTATGTTACTACTAGTCTAGTACAAGTCTTTCAATAATTTTCGCCTTTCTTGTCATTTACGTTCAAAAGCAAATGTATGATAATTCAAAGTTTGCAAATGAACCATCCATGATGATTATTACAAATGTACAAAGATGAGCTAATGCTACCTATATTAATAACTAACTTCAATTAGATCAATAAATAGTCACATTCTGTCCAAAACACACATCTTGAATAAATAAATCAACATCATTGGAAAGAACGCACAACATGGAGTTTATTCTGAATTGAACATATTTATTTCCCAAACAATTTGATACGATTATCATTTTTGTTATTAAAATTACTCATAAGCCTTTCGGTGAAAGTTTCACAAACTAAGGGACTAGTTATTCAGTTGAGAAGTGAATCTGGTTCTTTGATGTTCATATCAGTTGGCGCATTTATCCAATCAATTGAACTGAAATACCGGTTCCTGCGAATACTGAAAATAACCAACGTGTTTATTGACGTACTGAAAATACAATATTTAAAATATGCTCTATCACGATTCTGCAAATATGGCAGAGTTCAGCTCTTATCTGTAGTAAGGAGTTGTTCCTCCACTTCTTTCAAGATCTTGTTATTGTTGGTACTGCGTGACAAAGAACTGACAGCAGGGGATATAGTCGACAAGAATGAATCCCAATTTTTGATACCTGAAAGGGTATCTTTCTGTCGAATGATGAAAAACGCGGATCCAGAAAAAGCTTGAAGAAAAAATCGAGAGGCCAGACATCACACAACTAACTGATGGAAACTAAACAGCATGGATAGAAGACAAACTGAAAAGAGTGTTCGAAGTCATAATGTAAGTTAGAATAGTTAAATTTAATACGGCAATCATGCAATGGATTGTTGCCACTGAAAGTAAAAAATCTGCTCAGTTTGTCCACCCAAAATAGTGTGCTGAATCTGCGCCTAGTAAAGGGTTCCGACTATGGAAATCACATCTCAAATCTGAGCACTAAAGGGCCAGAAGGTAAAACAGTTTTTCGGGGGGCATTGTGTCCATGGAAGCTGAACAGTTCTGAGGATTGGATAGACAAAATGTGGTTTTAGTAAGGTTGATGAAATTGTGAAAGTTGACGTTCCTATAATTGGTTTTTTTTTAGGACAAACACAAGCACTACAGAAAAATCTCTAAGGCGCTTTAAGAGCTGTGCCTGTGCGAAAGTGACGATTCACGTTGGGTTTGAATCGCTGGAAATGAAATCGATTTGGAAAAACCTTCTCAGCAAGTTTATTTCAAGTAAACGCTTTTCCAAATGGAAGAGTTCTTGAACAGTGGAATTCGAGGTATACTGAGTTGAACCTCAAAATGATGAACAGCCACAGTCCGTCGCGTATTTCTGATATGTACCGCTTTTGGTGGAATCAAATGTGCCAAGTCACTTGAACACTTCCCCTGAAAGTATCTAGAGAAGAGAGACAAATCTCTAACCTTTCTTCGATGTTCCAGGCTATCAAGATGGCAAGTGATGTTCGTGTCTCCAATCGAGCGGATGGGACTTTTCTGGGCGGAATCCAGCAGTTTCAGGGTATGATTAGGGGCGGAGCTCCATACATGAGAATCAAAACTTGCTGGGGTGTGTACAGTAGTACTATTTCAACAAAATATCTGCTCTGCGAATGTCAGAAAATGCCTGTTTCACAAGTAAGGTCTGAGAATCCTCACTTTCTTCTTTATTCGTATGAATAAACATTGTGCAGCAACTGCAGAGTTCGAATAATAGTTTTTTCCCATTCCTTCCTTGCGATATTTCATTCACTGTCAAAAAACTGTAGTGTCCATAGTACCCGAGAGTAAAACAATTCCAATCTTACATCGAACTGATATACTCCAAACTATATGACTATCCAGGCACTTTTTTAATATCGTACCGAATAAAATAGATACTTATTTGATCGATAAAAGTACTTAAGATTTCTTGACTTTTGTTGATAACATCAATAATTAATAGTTACTAGTAACAGCCAAAAATACCTATATCAGTTTCTGAAACGTCTTTACTTTTGACAAACAATTCACATGAGTAAACTCCTTCAGCTTTCTTTCTGGAAAATATATAATAGAAAGTTACCATAATGTGCGTCCTTTCTGATGTGCTCTTAACAAATAAAATAAATATAAACAATATTATTCATTCATCTTGATTTCGATCACTCTCGATTACTTTCTGATATATTGCGAATACGCCAAATTTTGAGCATAGTTCTGAACAGATGGGGCAGATCTTGCATGATACTCCCCGCCGGGCGATCCAGGGCCAGCCCATTCCGCCCCAGATAAGCCACCATCATAGGGATTTTTGTAAACAATACCTTCATCATGGTGAGCATTCCTCTTCTCTTTGAAGTCCATCCAGAACTTGACGATTTGCAAGATTAAACTGGTGACACCTACCAGGAGTAGTTTGAACTTGAGGGCTGCTTCGAAGATCTTGATGAGTAGGGCGATCTTCATAATAACTACTCCAGCGAGGATTCCTACTCTGACAAGTCTGAATAATTTCTTTATTCCTCCTTTCTTTTTCCTCTTCTTTTTGTCAAGGAATACTCTCGATTCTAAAAACTCAAGTTTTAGGTGTGGCAGATGTGAAAAATGATTTAGTGATGTTACATTCCAAGCAAAATTTGTTAGATACAAAATGCGATGATGCATGCAAATTTGACTCAAAAATATAAAAATTGTAAAAGCAAAGTGATATTTACTTGTGAATAGATCAGTTTAAATAGTGCTTCGAAACGGTAGAAAAATCTCAATCCGTCATATTTAAAGTCATCATAACTGATTATTGAGAACTGTGCAAAACTACAATCAATTCTTCGAAGTGAAAAGTGCAACATAGTGAGATGAAATTGAACTTCTAATAAAGTTGTAACCAAACAAATGATAATGCTAGCGAATCTATGAAATTATTGAAGTTACCATTGGTAATCAAAAAAAAAAGGAAACACTTCAGAAGAATATCTATAATATTTAATTTGAAAGGGTTATATTTTTGGGAGTGACTAATTTTTGGGAAAGGAAGTTTTTGACTTTCTACCACTCCATCTCAATACAGAAAAAAGTGGGAATCTTCCAAAGGAAGGAAGGAGGTAATCTACACATCTATGTATACAGTTATTTCTTTTAAAATTGATTACTCCATTCCTTCTTTGGAAGATTCCCATTTTTCTCTGTATTAAGATGGGGTAGTAGAAAGCCAAAAACGTTCCCAAAAATCTAGAATATGTTTCCTATTTTTGCATTTTCGAATTTTTTTTATAATTATCTTCCAGCTGCAAAATAATTTATCTTATTTATCATTTTCGGTGAACTTAACATTTTGAATTCCCTTTTATTTTAATTATTCCAATGTCTTTAGACTATTTTTCACCTACACACTAATCCTAACTGTTGAAATAACGTTGCTAGTTAAATCTAGTCACTAATCTTTGAATTTCCAAATATTAGACAAACAGAGAAGGTATTTTTGAGTCAAACTTGAAGAATTTGATGTTGTTATGAAAATGAAATTCAACGAAGCATTTTATGATCAACCGACTTCATGCGTTGTTCACCATTTTCATAGCTCTCCAATATACCATTATGAATAAATCATACGAAAACCGTTATCAGAATTGAAATGTTCAATTTTACTAAGTATTACCTAAAGTGGGTGACATCTGGCTTCTGTTTGCAAATGGGTTATTCACCATTAGATATCAAATATAATTATTTCAATTTTATACTGTTATTTCCTCATTCTCAATCCTTAAATGATTGAACATTACTTTTTTTCTGTGAGCAACGTATGATACATTCATAAATATTAGGCAAAAGTAACCATGCTTTTCATAACTACATGCGATTTATAAGATAATGTTTATGGCAATTATCATAAAACTAATAATTTCTTGAGACAAATACATCTCTACTTTGGTGGTATATTTTCTTTTTTTATAGTGTCGTCATGCAAAGTGAAATATTTTTTTCATTTTTTGGCATTTCAATTTTTTTGACATGATACATGCTTCATTTGATACGTTTCTCATGCAACACAATAAATTTCATGCTTTTTGTGCTCCTCAATAGGAACCAGGAACCAATAATCATGCAACTATCGAACTAGATCGAAATTCGTGCATATACACGTGCATAAAAATAATAACGTAGGGTACTTACTGAAGGAAGAAATAAAAACACATCTTCAGGCACTTTGTGATATTTGTATAGTATGTTTACTCGTAAAAATTATCCTTGAATTTTGAACAAGCTCGTTTCATAAAACTCATTTTCTATATAAATTGAAAATTCTATTAGATAAACGCAATACTATACAGTGCGCATTATAAGTGTTACCCTCCTATCTAACTCGTTACTGGACTTTTGTTAGAAACATTTTTTTATTTCTTCAGTGTACATTTCCGTATGATAGTTCACCCCTAATTTCATCCCTTACCTGGGGGGGGGAGCAACCCTGTCGAAAAATGTAAATAGCAAAGGGGGTTTCATTCTCTATTCAACCTTGTAAAGAATTACACCACAAACAGGCAACTAAACTAACACTAACTTCTTCTGTAATGACAGTAAATGTTCAAAATGTTCCCCCTTGACCTACTGGCAAAAAAAGAGTATATTTTTAGTTTCAGTCGCTTTGCAGAGTATCGCGAGTAATTGTTGCACACACTTCCATAATCCGCGCACGCAACTCCTGAATGGAGTGACATTAGTCTGGTAGACTTAACATTTCAGGTAACCCCATAGGAAGAAATCTAAAGAAGTTAGATCTGGTGATCTTGGAGGCCACTCCACAGATCCTCGGCGCCCGATCCATCGTCCTGCATAAACAGTATTCAAATAAGTCCTCACAGCAACTGCAACATTAGGAGGAGCTCCATCTTGTTGCTGAATAATGTCCATGTCAAATTCGCCAGAATTATTTTCGACAGTTGCCACTATCAGTGGATCTATCACTGTTTCCAACATTTACTAATAGAGGGCACCAGTCAGGTTTTCCTCAATGAATAACGGAGCTAGAAGGTGAGCACCCAGTGTTCCTGTCCACACGTTAACTTTTTGTGGAAACTGGGTATGAGTTTCGTGAAAAAGTCAAGGATTTTCATCGGACCAGTACCTCACATTTTATCTATGCACGTGACCGTTTAAAAAAAAAGTAGCCTCATCACTGAAACGAATGTATTTGTTTCAAATAGCTGGGACTATGCAAAATATTGTTAGAGACAATTTCACAATGTTCTACACGGCGGTTTGGATCATTGCCTCTCAGTTCATGCACCATTTTTATTTTGTTGGAATGAAATTTGGATTTGAAAAAGGATTTGGAATTAAATGAAATAATAAATGTTTCTCATTATAAAATCAAATTGTATAACTTTCATTCGGTATATCCGAATGAAGTAGATGAGATATGTTAAATTTGAAAACCACAGATTTGTAACAAGGGCGAAAATGATAATTTCATATCATCATTTTACTGTTCCTACTATAAGAAGGTTAATTAAATTATTATAATGTGATTTATGGGTTTCAAAAACTACACCTCACGATTTCAGCTTCACAAATCAAAACGTGAAGTGTAGTTTTTGAAATTACTATGGATCTTCATCAAGTAACGACCGAATCAATCAGTGATTTATGGGTTCAGAAAGTATCGGATTAGGTGTAATGATCTAGTTAGACGTTAAAGTAGATTTTATGGAAGCAATTAGTATTCTGGAATTCTTTGGAAATGTCATTAATCAAAATATTGTGGTATACTATACCTGTGTGATCACTCACGTTATATATTTCACTTGAACCACATGACTGCTCTTCATTAAAAAACATTCCCACAGAATCACTTGCATTTGACCGAGTAAAGAAAACTGACAAGTTTTCTTGACTTCCCAAAATTGTAAAGTTGAAGGACTGAATAAAACCCCCCATTGAAATCTTTCAAAAATATTTAATTTTAGTTTCAGTTTGCAAATTCTATTTATTATATTTGACATCAATATTGGATTAACTAGGGGATAAATGTTTGTAGTTGCGTGTTTTGAGTTATTCATCACTCAAATACCCATAATACGAATGTGAATGTTGAGATTCTTCAAACAATCCTGTTGTCCAAATGATTTCCATAAATTATATCTCAATATAATATTTTGAAGTAGTTTTTTTCACAAAATCAGAAGCCCCAATAAGGTATTGAAATTTCTTTCGGAGTGAGCATTTAAAAAAAATACGAGTTATTTGGGATACTATAAATAGTTGGTGAATTGGTTTTTCGACAAAAAGAATAGAATTAGTTTCAGTCAACGAATAATTTTCAAACCTAGCTTCCGTCTATATGAGATAAATATTTATATGGAAACAAAAATCATATTACCGTGTTCATGATACAAAGTTAAGTGGTGATGTAGATGTTCTCTTTCAACCAAAATATGAGGATTGTTGAAGACGAATTTTATTTAAAAAAAATCAAAAAGTTAAGCGGCATTCAATCACTCGAAAGAATTTCAATCTTCACGGCTATGAAGAAAAGAATTTCGAACAAGGTTTCCCTGCAATCTTGAGGGTTCTTGAAAATATCCCAAATATGACAACAATTAGGCATATTCAAGCAGTCATACTAGCTTAGACAACATACTAGTAAATATTCGAAATAAAATCTCGAAATCTCTCCTAATCATGCAGTTTAGCCGCGTTGAAATTAATCGGGTCCCAGGCACTTTTTTGTTTGGGTCGCATCTTTCCTGCACTGATGAGAGGTAATACCTCGAAACCGAAATTTCAGTCGGATATACTGGTAATTCAATATCCAGCGTGGTATTAGCCGGGAATGTAATTTTTTCAAGACAAGCATTTGTCAGAACCTACGGTGTAGGTAGTTGGGATAGATAAATATTTCGAAATTTTATTTTGAAATATTTATTTTCTAGGAAAAGAAAGTTTTTGGTTTTCTACTACTTCATCTTGATACAAAAAAATGTGGGAATTTTCCAAAGAAAGGGAAGCAATCAATTTTGAAAGAGGTAACTCTATACCTAGATGTGTAGATCATGCAAAGAAGTAACTTTCAGACACAAACTGGAAGAAAACACCCTCCTGAAACAGCTACTTTCATATAAACATTGAATTACACGAAAGAAAAATTCTTTCGAAACAAATACTTTTATATGTACTCTGAATTATATACTGAATTATACTCACTTTGTATTTTAAACATTCATTATAGAATTGAATCAGATATCATTCACAGGATTTCTACACAGTTTACTAAATGAAAGGTAAAAAATTTCACTCACATGAAACACTGTCATCGTCAATAGTGGACATCGATGTTTCGGAATAAGACACTTGCCTTATTGCCTCATCAGTACCAATATGGATAACATTGCAAGATGTAGCACACAATTTATTCATAAAATTACGACTTCATGTCACGAATGGGTTTAATATACTGATATCATCGATGACAGAACGTAGTGACATTCATTCACTCATTTGATTCATTCCCAGCCAAAGGAATCTTATTTGAACGGAAAGGAGTATATTTTTAGTAATTTTACGAATGAATTGAGTGCTTCATCTTGTAATTTCATCCAGATTGGTGCTGTAGATGACGGTGTTCCATGTGAGCGAATTTTCACCCCTCTCATGTACTGTATTGTGTAGCAATCCTGTGGATAATATCTGATTCAATTTCATAACGAATGTTTGGAGTATAAACTGACAAGCAAAAAGTTTGTATAATTCAATCTTCATATAAAAGTAATTACTTGGAAAGTATTTTTCTTTCTTGTGATTCAACGGTTATGTGGAAGTAGTTGTTTCAAGAGGGCTTTTTTTTCAGTTTATTTCTAGAAGTTACTTCATTGCAATGATCTACATGTCTTTGTATAGAGGTACCTTTTTGAAATTAATTGCTTCTTTCTTTCAGATGGGGAGGTAGAAAGCCAAAACTTTTCTTTCCCAAAAGTTGTAAAGGTATTTTAATTTTTTTTACCACAGTCATTTTCAAAAATCTGATTTCAAATATCTTGTAGTTATCTGGTGCTCGGTGACACTGTCTCACCCTGTGCATATACTGTGTATATTTACAAGGGCAATGATACAATTTATTGGATTGGCAAACGTTTTCTGCTCAAGAGTATCTTCAAAAACATTACGCTATTATATAAATAAATTGAAATACTTTTCAATTGGATATTGGAATATTACAAAGTATTTGATGATTAAGTTTTCTATGTGAAAACTTGATATATTTTTCGAATCAACACCGGTCTATTTCATTATATTGTGTTGCTTTTAATGCAAGTACGTAGCTGCTCATATCCCTCGAAACCCTTCATGAGAGATTTTTCAAGAAATGAGAGTTATTTCCTTGAATCTTAAGATGACAAGGCTGAAAAAATCGCATGGTATTCAATGTATCTACATCATTCTGTACAGATTCGTGGAATATGTAAGTCGTGTAGAATACTTGTAAGGATATTTGTAAAAATGAAGTAATGTGACACGGGGAATGAAATGAGATGGGATGAGTATGATGTGAATGTTGAGAAGTGGTTTTTCGTAGATAAGTTGCACTTATTAAGGTTGTTTTTCATGCCGTCATATTTTGAGTTCATATTTCGTGATCAGAATTGAAAAATTTATCAACTTATCATTTTTTTTTACTTTTTGGTTTGGAATGCACTCGGTTGGATTTACATTTTTGAAGCAAAGTTAATTATATCGTTTATATTATATTTTTCTTTTTCAGAATAGGAGCATTATGCAATAACTTATGTAAAAATATCAATATGAATTTTCATGTTTTTCAATTTCCGCCACTGAACTTAATTTAGGTATACGAAATAAGACAAGCAAATGACTCAGGTCGCCAATTAGAATGTGTTTCAATCGCCTATGGCGTCTGCCAGATTATCAACAAGATCACAGGGATACCAAATGTGACCACCATACATTCGGTCTCTTCCTTATGATTACCAAAACTTCCTATCAGATAAAAGTACAAGCACCATAAGTTAATTTCATGTTAATTTCAAAAATATGTTCCAATCGAACAACAAATCTCCAATATACGGGGAATATCAGTTTCATTCTGCATCAAAAAATATGTGTCGGAGATATGATTCTGGCGGTTCACGCCAAAATTCCAATTGTACTTTCAAACATTTTCCAACAAAATCCAAGCAACAATTACGATACTACAAGTAGATGGTACGAACGATTGGGATAATTTTCGACTACTCTAGCTAGAGTATTCTTCGGAAAACTATAGTTTTGCTCCAGCTCCACTCTATAATATAAGTAGTCATATTAATATTCATGGATACTTAATATACATCACATCAAAAGATTTCAACAGATTATAGTAGTTCTTGGTTTAACAAAAGACGGTGCAAAATCTATCGTCCCAAAGCAACAAATTTTCCATTTGGATTCAAAAATTCTATTCGAGAACCCATATATGTAGGAGTAGTAAAACCAAAAAAGATCATCAAATCTTTCAATGTTCTGATCTTCGCTAAATGTTCTTTATTATCTCTTAACAGAAACGTTAAAACAACAGAAAAGAGAAAAATAAATTTGCCACCAATTTAACCTTAAAGAGACGAACTTCCAGAAATGTCGTCAGTAGATAATTTATTATCAGAGATTATGTTTCTTAGCCTCATTACGAATTAGGAAATCTTGATACGATCCCACCTAACTCTCCATTCCGATGTGCTCTAGAACAGTTTTCTGCAACTTATTCAACCTTTCATAAGTTATCTCCAGTATTATGGAGAAAATTTTATGTATGTATTGTATTTAAAAAAGTAATCTGGGGTAGTGGATGATACCTAATGTAATTTCCGTCACCAGAGATTATCTAGATCTAGAGTATGTCACACCAGTATGAGAATCTGCATCAAAGGTGTATCGGAAGATATAGAAAATCACTGGCAGTGGCAGATTCTAAGGTGTTCGACAGTGTGCAGTGTAGAGACTTCTCTAAACATTTCCTACCCATTTCCCAATTGTCTTTCGGATATGAAATTTATAAATCTGTAACCAACAGTTCTGATAATATTTATTTACTTGAAACGTATACTTTTTAAGTTACATTTACATTACATAATACCTCCACGTAGTAAAACTCGATAAGTTCGTATGGATCAAACAAATTCATGAATATCTTCATGTGTGACGGTTTGACGAAGTAGTCAATGGCTCATTTGCTATCATCGCTGGTCCACCCCAGAATTTCCTTTTTGCACTAACTCTTCCGGCAGCAGGAGGTTGCATATATTAATGAGTATCTAGAAGCAATTTCGAATTGGAGTGAAAGTAATCAGGTTTAATTCAATGTCACAAAAACCCAGGAATCGGTTTTCTCCAAGAGGTAAATGTCCCCCCAACCGGATATAATAACGCCAGATCAGACAATTCTGCTTTCTGCTTCGATAAGTTTTTTGGGGTTGTAATGGACACCAATATGTCTTAGCACAATCATGTCGCTGGAATTGCAAAAGCCGCTTCTCAAAAGCTTGGAACACTGCTTTATGAAGCTAAGATCAGACCTTTTTTGAGTATTGTTTTCATGTATGGAACTCCGCCTCTAAGCATACCCTAAAGCTGCTAGATTCCAGTCGGAAAAGAGCCATCCGCCTGAAATGCAAACATCATTTGCAACCTTGATTGTCTGGAACATCGAAGAAACATCGAGACTTGTCTCTCTTTTATTGATACTTTCACGGGAAGTGTTTTGGCATCAGAAATACGGACTGTGACTGTTCATCATTTTGAGGTTTAACTCAGTACACCTCGAACTTCACCGTTTAAGAACTCTTCCATTTGGAGAACTGTGCTTGAGTGGAATAAACTTCCTGAGAACGTGTTTCCAAATGGATTTAATCTACAGCGATTCAAATCCAATGTGAATCACTACTTTCGCACAGGTACCGCTCTTAGAGCGCCTTAAGGAGTTTTCTATAGTGCTTGTGTTTGTCCTTAAAAAAATTTGTGTCTGAAACAAAATTTTGGGCATGATCTATACATCTTCGAAAATGATATTTTGTTTTTGAGTGTTGTGCGTAAACTGTTTCAATTTTGGGAACCTACTTGATGAGTGACATACATAGAAAGAGAAAGCTTAATCATTTTCAACCATTTGAACTCTTACAAACTGAAATATATTTCGCTTTATATTTGGATTTATCAGGAGATACATAGAAATATTTTGGGTTTAAAAGCAGGTCCAGGTTGCTATATAAACGAGTACACCAAGTATTATTATTATTCCAATACTTAGCAATTCTTGATAAATAGTTGCTATTCGACCAAGTATGAACTCAAAAGATGAAAGCAGTATGAATGTTCATTGGTTGTGTTGAAAACACTTATACCAGGCAAAGTTGAAGCAAGGTTAATGTACAAATAATTCACCGCTTTATTACTACCATCTATCTACTGAAAATCAACTTCTACTAGGTGCAATGAAAGCAGAAGCGATCATAACAATTTGAGAATAAAACGAGACTCCCGAGAAAATGTTGCGTATACTGATAAGTATTCTCAAATTGTTGGAGTTCACTTCCCGACAAAAACTACGGACACAAATCTACAGCAGTGCTATATACGAACCTACTACATCCCTACTATTTTTCTCGTCGTCTTTATTTTCATTATCAATGCTGTTATCGTCCGCATCATCAATTTCATCATCGTCAGCTGCTTCTCTGAAAAAACTGGATATTCCGCTCTTGAACATTCCAGCTAACTCGGACAGAAGTTTTTCTATCGTTTTAGCAAGATGAGATGGGGAGTTATCCGGATTAGCACGCCCGGAAGCCGAGACTTGGGCGTCGGCCTGAGCTGAAAGTAAAAAAAAGATACGTTACTTTACATATTTATAATGGAGTTACGTTTTATGGCATATTTGATAAAAGCATTCTTGAGAGTGAAATTGCGATTAACATTTTTTGGCAAAGAAATAATGTCAATTCAACTACGTACCACGTATTTATTTTGCTTTTTTCATTCCGTAATATTCATATACAAAGGAATAAAATATTTATTGTTGTTGAAGCTAACGTTTTCTGTCGGTAAATTGAAAGTAGAAATTTAGATGCTACAATTTCGGGAGGAGAAAATTGTCTAAGAAAATGTTATGTTCTGCAGGACCCTTTTTTTGAAACACCTTAATAATAATTTTCGATGCAGGCGAACTAAAATTATGAGAAATGGCACTTGTGAACTAAATTATAAGAGCCACAGGCATAAAGGTGTTTCACCACGAATTATTATATCGTTGCTATTATTTTAACGAAGGGGGGAGCAGCATACTTCTGTATATGCCACTAAAGCTAACATTTCTCCAGTTTGTATCAACTTCAGAATTCATGCTAGACATGCATAACGCAATAAAAATTGTTTGCATTTGAAACATGAAATGTATTTTTTTCATATACAAGTTCGATATTGCATTGTATCCTCCAGTTTTATCATAAGTTTTGGAAAATTTTTAAGTTTGAACCATATGAACTTTCAATGGACTGTCAGAATAATATTACAGAATTTTTGTAGAGTCTGTAATCGGTAGCTATTTTTTGATCCCCAATCCCCAATGTATATTGTAAATATCAAGAAATTCAATTCTCCTCGATATTCCTGTGGATTGGCAGTTTGGTGATTTTCAAGGAATTTCGGATTCTCTAGCATTCAATTAATGAAAGTACCTAGTACATAAAAAGTGTTCATTCCTACCTTATATTCCCAGTGAGATTTTACCTGCAGAAGTTTAAAAAAAAATCTCATGGTAAATGATAATGAAATTTCCAATATCTCAGCGAATAAAGTTGATTTTTCAATGATATTCCAAAAAAAAATTGTCAACTTTGTAACAATTCAATGAACTTCATATCCCTCATCGTTTAAAAAATAACCATTCAGAGATTCGAATTTTAATTAGCCATGTACATAAAATTTCAAGTGAAATAATAATCCAGTCATTTGTTGAAATTATCTTTAGTAGAGAGAGTAAAGGATGCTTCATTCCAAAATAAGTTTACGCCAAACATTAAGTATAACTCCATTGATACATTTTTGAATCGATACGTCCTCTTAAGAGGGGAAGTTTATCATTATGATACCATATATTGCACGTGCATGAATAAATGATTAGAAATATCGACTGAACATCGATGAAAGATCTTTTTGCTGGATGTTCTTCCCACAATCAGAACCAAAATTTAAGAATTCCACACCAATCCTGTGCCACTTGTCTTACCAACGAATATTTGAATTATAGTTTTGACCGCTAGACTTACAGTTAATGGACGTTGCTTGCATAAAACTTCTAAAACGATGCGTATGGATATTTTTGTCTGCTTTAGCACTACGGCTTACTCACTACAAGCTAGGCGACAAACGTTTGATGAATTTTGATTAGCTCACATATTCACAGCGTCCGTGCATTTTTCTAACAGGAAAAGGCACCATTAAGAGACAAGCAAGCTAGCTGTGCATTTTTCCAGATAATTATTGGTTATCTACAGAGGGGATCATTGAACACATGTGAGAAAATTAATAAAACCGTTCCAAATTTCACTTATCAAGTAGGTAATAAACTTTATTTGATTGATTATTTATTTGATTGATTACATGGTGACAACGGTAAACTAAATAAATACAAGGTGCAAGAGCACCTTCGGAGATGAACTGAAATCATAGAAGTAAAATCATAGAAAAACTTGTTAAACAAAGAATAATGATGTTTGTGAATAAGCATAATATTATTAGTAGTAGTCAGTTTGGGTTTCAGAGTTTGAAAAACACGGAAGATGCCATGTTTCATTTACTGGAAAATGTTTATCTCAATTTAAATAATCGTGAAATAGTAGCAGCAGTTTTTTGCGATCTTTCAAAATCATTCGATTGTGTTGCCCTTCGTGGTATTAACCAGGGGAGTAGTTGTTTTCTGATAGGCGTCAGTCCATTCAACCTACTGTGTAGGTAAATCCAAGACTAGCTTAAAAGTTTAAAGTTCATTTCTTTAGATTTCTATACGTATATATTACAGATCATGCAAAGAAGTAACTTTCAGACATAAACTGGAAGAAAAATCCCTTTCCAAACAGCTATTTACATATAGACATTGAATTGCACGAAAGCAAAATACTTTCGAAACAAATATTTTTATATAAATACTGAATTATACAAAAAACACTATTCTCTATTCAGTTTGTATTCCAAACATTCGTTATGGAATCCAATCAGATATCATTCACAGGATCGCTACACAATGAAAGAAAATTTCACTCACATGCAACACTGTCATCCTCACTGGTAAACATTCGATGTTTTGCCGTAAGACACTTGCCTTATTGCCTCTTGAGCACCAATCTGGATAACATTGTAAGAAGAATCACTCAATTCATTCATAAAATAACGAATGAGTTTAATCTACTCATGTCATCTATGACAGTACGTAATGACATTCATTCACTTATTTGATTAAATCCCAACCACAGGAATCTTGTTTAAATTGAAAGGGGTATGTTTTCAGGAGGAATACATTTTTGGAAAAGAAAGGTTTTAGATCTTTACTTCTCCATCGGTATACAAAAAATATTGAAATTTTCCAAAGAAAGGAAGAAAGCGATCATTTTTTTATTGGATCCCAAAAATGCATTTCTCCTAAAAATGTATACCTTTCAATTAAAATAGATTGTTAACTAATGTATTCTTATGGTCTCTAAATTTTTCAGGAAGTTCGAAATATTGAAGATCGCCAAAACATTCGAAGAAATGTCGAAATTATATTTGAATGGCACAACAGCCATGATTTGAAGGTCAATGTCAAAAAATGATGTGTGATAATTTTCACAAGGAAATGTCATTTCTTGATATTTGACTATAAAATAGAATCAACCTCACTGAGCAGATGCCAAAACATAAATGATCTGGGGGTTACATTTGATTAGACTCAGACACTTATATTTGCCGATCATGTGTCACAAACTGTACCCTCAGCTAACAGAATGCTCGGTTTCCTAGTGAGAAATATCAAAGATATCAGGAACATATTTATAATGGAGTTACGTTTTATGGCATATGTCTGTCCAAAATTAGAATATGGCACAATGCTGTGGTATCCCATGAATGCGACTTACTCAGCTTTCATTGACAGAATTCAGCGGAAGTTTCCCAAATTTATTTGTTTCGAACTGTTTGGTATATATCCTGGAAGAGGAATTCCTTATGGTCAGTCACTGGAAGAATCAAAGTTCTTCAGTTTGAGTACCAGACGAGTAATTTCAACAGTGACATTTTTTTATATAATCTGTTATATAACAATATTGACTGCGTATCTCTAATCAAAAATCTATTTCAACGTTCCTTCCCATAACACTAGATATGAAATGATGTTCTACTTAGATTCTACAAGAATTAACATTTCATTCAAATTACCTGTCGCGATTTGTGACAGGTGACATTTCAATACAATTTGCCATTTCTCTAAAATCAATCATTTATCTCTCAATGATATTCTCTGCTGCATTTTATCTAAAATAATACATTGATGTACGTTTTTTTCTCATAACTGACTATACTTTATAATTTTTGGAAACTTTAGGCATCCCCTGTAATTAGGTCCTGTACCTATTAATTCTTTCAAACCTAAGTTTGGGCTGTTCAGGCCCTATCTCCCGAAGCCCCGATATATTCAGCAGGACGCATCAACATTATCAACCAACGACCCCTCCCCACACCGTGGGGTAAGTGATCATTGGGTTCAAGAATCATGTACTCTGAGCAAGCGCAATGAGCCAAGAATGACAGCCTTCTGCAGTTGTCCGACTAAGATTTCTGCCTTAGTGCGGCAATCCAGCATGATTTTGAGATTCTATAGTAAAGAGGGCATCATTGCACCAAGTACTCCAGTAATCAGAACAACCATCTTCACAGAGTGGTCTGGATAGAGTCTGCGGAGTCCGAAGAGAAAATCTCGATATTATATCCGTTTTTCCTCCTCTTTTCATACGATATTCATCTCTCCAGGAGCTGAAAACTCAACGGCAAATTTCGTCTTGCTCTGGTCGTCGAGAAAGGACTACATCAGGCTCATCAGCTTGTAGAAGCCTAATGGTGGGGAGTGAATAATTCCTATAAATTCGGCTCTTCTCGTTTCTCACAACGGATTCAATATCCCCCAGAGAGTAGGGTAACACCGGTGTCTCGTCAATACCGTAAAAGTGCCGTAGGTGGTAATGAAGCACTTTTGGGCCGGTTTATGTCGATAGTTTTAGGCTGAGACCGCATATGCTGGACCGCGAGTGCGTTCGGGTCTCAAACGCCTGACGACAGGCCCTACGTCTTGTGTCACGCGACTTCGGTAGAGTAAGGTGTTGAAGACGTTTTCCTGGAAGATGAAGATGAACCCCTCAGTTTCCGACTTCAGCCCACTAGACCTGAGGAAAGCAAAAGTCAGGTGCTTTATTCATTATTATTATTTCACAAAAAAATAAGCCAGCATTATCAACCTATAAACACTCCCCACATTGTGAGCTGAGTGATCACTGGGTCCGAGAATCATGTGCCCTAAGCCTTTGACTCTGTCAGTCGTTGCTGAAACTTCGAAATATAACCTTCGTGCTCGCAGTCAACGCATGTAGCACTGATGATGTCTGCCGCTGTAGCAGACGAAACGAACATTCGACCACGATCTACCAGCCCAGATTTTGTCTTTAATGATGCTAACTTAGTTAACGAAACGCGCGATAGGGATAATGCTCTAATTCTCATATATTGTTTTTATTAGGTCTAGTATTGTTATTATTCATTATTGATTGTTATAATAATAATTTGATCTA